GGCGGCGGAGGCGGCGCCTACGGGTCAGGCAGCCGAAGGCGAGGCGATTGTTGACAAACTCGCCGCCCAGCGCCACTCCGGCTGTGCCGGCCGCCGCGGCTCTGGCTAGAACTTAGGGGGCCGGGCTGATTCGCTCCGCGCCCCGCCCCGCCCCTGGGCCCGGCCCGTACGCCGCGCGCCCTGCGGGAGTTCCCGCCGCTTGGGCAGCGGGACTGTAGAGACAAAGCCGGACCCGCGCCCTTCTGGGATCCGCGGAGCCACGATCCCATTCCAGGCCACTCGGGGCAAAGACCGTAACGGCCTTCGCTGTCCCGAGCTGAACTTCTCTGCAACTTCACCTGTTGTGCCCCATGTGTCACCGACACACACCAAATATGAACGACCATCCGGGTCTCTCGGGCGTATACCTCCAAACCCCCGGTTCCCAGCGTCCAGTTAGCCTTTCATAAGCAGTGCCTGCCTAGGGGCAATAGGCCCGGGAGATCACCGAGCCACCAGCCTATGCGACTGGGTCCCGGTGCGATCCCGCTTCATAGAGCCGGTCGGGCAGTCAGCTGCCCGGGGCTCGGAACTCGCGTGGCCTAAGTGGTCCTGTGACGCCTACGGGATCTCTCGGCTCCTGTAGATACCGTGACCCTCAGCGTCCATAGGACGCTCTCAAAATGAACGAGGACGACGGGGACATCTGGGCAAGCGAAATCGGGCACTGTAGCCAAACCGTGGCTTGAATGAATACAAGCAAAGTCTGGGCGCGTGTGATTTTAATAAACCTCCGCAATGAAGCAGCGCCAGCGAAGAGCCAAGTCTACCGGCCCGCGGCTAACGCGCGGCTACTTCTCCCGGGCCGCCTGGCTCGCGGCGACGCTTCCCTGCTGGACGCGCTGTCGGGCACCACGGAACGGGTCCTCGGCTCCAAGCCGAGTCTACGCGCCCTCCCGGCCCGCGAGAGATGCCTCACCAACCCTTCGTGCGGCATCCCGACACAAGCCAGACTTCGGCTAAGTACCCGCAGCTTCTGTGCCTACGACCCTTTCTCAGAAGTGCCCCGCCAGTCAGGAACCGAGGCTGGACTTTGCGGCATTCGCCTCCTGCAGCCGCGCGCCAAGCGGGACAAACCAGCGCCTCCACCCGCACGTGCGACACCAGAGACAGATGAAAAGACTCCGCGGGTGAGGCGCCTCTCTTCCATCCGTCCCCGACTTGCGCCCCGAAAATCGCGAATCGCGGAGAGTTTACCTTGCGTTTCTCAGTCCGAGAATCAGAGTCAGACATTGGGGGGACGAGGGCCAGGGGAAGGGCGCCGAGGCGGTGGCGGCGGGGGAGCAGCAGCGGTTGTGCAGATGCAAGTGGGGCACGGTTCGCAGAGAGACTGCAGGAATCCGGTGACGGCGACGGCGGCAAGGACCGCAGAGCTCCAACCAGCTGGTGACCCAGTGCCTGCAGGGAGCGAAGTGAAACTAGCCTGGCCCGGTGACTCTGCTCCTACAGGGCCCCCGCTCCCGTGCCCAATCACCGCGGGCTCCGCCCCCGCTCTGTCCAGCCCTCACCGAGCCGGAAAGCAAGCCCCACCCCACCCCCGCGGCCCCCCCTGGCCGCTGGCGCGTGCAGGCTGCGACAGGTACTGGCGAGGGTAGCCCCGCCGCGCGCGCGCTCCGCCCACCCCAGCGTGTTTACCCTAGTGACTTGGCCTGCGGGCAGCTGCAGGCAAGCCCATCCTCCACCCCAAACGTACCCGCCCCTCTCTGCCCCTCCCTGTCCGCCGGGAGCGGCCACCTCGCAGAGCGGAACTTAGGGGGCGCTCGGGGCACACTGCTGTGTCCAGCCTGCCGCGGGCACCAGTGGGAAGTCTAAGAACGAGTCCCTGCGCGCTTACTTTGCGGAGCTTCTCAGCCCTAAACCATGGGGACTGGATTGGTACAAGGATGGGCACTGGCCTTTGACTGTCCTCTCCAAAAATTTATGACCTCCGGGGAACCCAAATTAGCAAAATGTTCACCCCTCCTCAGCTGTGTCTCATGCAGGACTCTTCAACGCCACTGTCTTGTGTCGCCATTTAGGTTCTCCCTGGTCGTGAGTGGTGTGTGTGTGTGTGTGTTGTTTTTGTTGTTGTTGTTGTTGTCGTCGTCGTCGTCATTGTTGTTGTCCCCAGCGCACAGCTTCTTAAGAGGTAGGAAGGACAGTTGAGAAAAGGCAGGGAGATCCTAGGTCTACAGCTCAGCTTCGGGTCGCAATAGGCACGCATGACAAGCATATAAAATAGGGAATGAGAAAGAAACTAAAAAAGAATAACTATAAGGAAAAATGGGGATGGTCTACCGAGGAAAGACGGTTGTGCCTTGCGTTATGTCTCTAAATTTTGGGGGGCTCACAGACTACCGCCAGGAATCGTCCATCAGCTGACTGAAGCTGGCGACCGCAGACGGAGCAGCAGAGTTCGGGTCGCGCTGGTAAAGCCATATGGGGGTCGAAAAATCCCCTGATCCTCCTGAGGCCTTCGTGTCCCCAGTCGAAGTCTTGAAGTCAATGGTGCCACACACCCCACCCCCACCCAACCCCTTTCACTCTCTCACCGCGGAGACCGGGAGAAGTTGCTCTGGAAATGAAATATCCGGCATCCTAAGTGTGAAAATTAAAGTAACTCGATTTAAGGACTACCCAGCCTGCATCCAGGCTGGCAGAGAGAAGGAAGTGACCTTTTCATGAACAAGTGACGCGACCTATCGTCCCAACTTCGAACCACCTTGGTCATTTCGGTGTTTATAAGCGTTTCTAACGTCAGCGTGACACAGCACAGCCCTGGGTTAATGTCTTGGTTCTCAGGTGAATTCTGAGGGAGATCAAAGACGCCACTGGTTCCCAGGGGAGCTGGGGGACTCGCGGCAAAGCCACGTCCCTTCTGTGGGTGAGGGGTGTTTGCTACAAGAGTGCACAGGGCATTGGCGTGGATGCAGCCAAGCAGCCGCAAATCCAGGTCTATCCTGACCGAGGCTGAGAGTTAGAGTTGTGCGTTGTCCACTCCGCATCCCACCCATGCAACCCGGTCTACTACTGCTCCGAGAGTCCTCAGACAATAACAAGTCTGCCTGCCCCGCGCTCTTGACCCAGAGCCGTGCACCTCCAAATCCGGCTAGAAAAGAACCACTCAAGAAAAAAGAAAGTCTTTATCGCCCCTTCTCTTTGTAGGAGCAGGCTACCCAGGAGTCTTCCGATTTTACAACTCTGGGCACGCTAAAAGAAAACATACAGACACTAGGGAAAGCAACAGGCTGGGCTATGTGCTCTCATTTAGGACTTAATTAGGGAGACGGCCTGGAAGCGATGGCTCTTTGCACCGCCAGAGAATAAGGCAGTTTAGCGAGCTTCCACCAAATGCCTCAGGGCAGGTGAGCCCTTGGAGCCCTTGGAGCCTTTTCCCGCAGCCTCAGGAGAACTCCTGGGTTCAATCTGGTGGCAGAGAAGAGTAATGTGGGAAGGGCCAGAGGGTCACCCGTGCCTTCCCGAGGCTGGCAACGGGATATGGAGAGAAGGAAGCGAGACGTAGCTAGAGTTAAGAGTGAAACTGGGCAACGCCAAAGTCAGGACATAAATGAGAAATTCATTTCCGCCTGTGTAATCTCTCCAAATTCCAAAACCAGTTTATTGCAGCGATTCCCCAGGCCCGCGTCCTCTACCCCTTCAAGCCCCCGGAGCACTTTTCTATCGCTTAATTTATTAAACCTTGCATCTACGCTTTTCTAAAGGGCAGATTATAGTGTAGCGCTATGAAACGTTTGTGGCGCGTCTCCTGCGGTCCGGAGATCGCCTACCTGGTGAGACCAGCTCGACTCCAGGATCACGCTCCCCTCTCTCTCGTCAGCCCGTTTTCTAGCAGAGCTGGAAGCAAGTCTGATTCACTAAGCACCCTTTGCTGAACTTTTGCCCGCACTTGGAGTGGGTGGAGCTTTCCTCCGCCCCTTTTGCCCGAGGGTGTTTGATTTTTTATGTTTTGATTTTTTTTTTTTCACCCAGCACCAGAGTTTTTCGAAGTCACTTGGAATCTGAGTCACCGATGACAGCAAAGGTCTTTGGTGGCATCAGGCTCTGGGCAAGACCACTGGATCGTCTGAGGATCCAGCGCAGCGGCTGGGAGAAGTCAAGGCAAGGGCCAGGAGAGGTTAACAGACCAGGGTAAATCACTGTACTCCCCGGGATTCCATCTAGTCTCCTTCTCCCGCACCTCCCCCCTCCCCCACCCTACTCCCTCTAACCTGTCCTGAGCCTTGCCAACCTTAGCCGGATCTCCTCCTCTATATGACCAAAACTCCCGAGTATGGTGGTCGTGCACCTGTCACTTCGGCCCCTGCTCCAGCTCTGGGAGTATTTGAAGGGAACTCCATGGCAAGCTGCGGACGGGCCACTACATTTCTTGCCCTGCTGGTTAATAGTCTCTGGCTCACAGCTTGGACAGCTGGGAGCGCGCCCCTTCCCGCACCAGCGTTGGCGTAGGCGCGGGATAGAAGGCCCAGGCAGCCCGGGGGTTGGGAATTCCTGCGATTGGTGCATGGAGGTTGGTGTGTGGAATGTTAAAGGCAGAGATCACCTTCAGGGCGTCATCCTTCACGGACTCGCACAAATCCAGCAACTGCAAAACACAACACAAAGGGACAGGTCGGATGTGGGCGCGCTCACGGAGGACTTTCCATCCGCCCCCAATCACTCACAAGGGCTGAAATTCTCCACAACACAGGAAGTTATTGTTTCAAATAAACCTGTATCTTCTTCAAAATTTCTAAGTCTCTGACCCTCAAGTCCTGCCGAAATCTAGGTTTTTCTGCTAAGGGTCTATGGGTTGGAGCTCTTTCCCAAGATTATCTCGGTAACTAAGAGACCAAGGTCTGAGAATTAACGCTGCCTCCTCTTCGCTCCCTTTTCTTCTTCCCGCCCTTCTTCTCCACCTCTGGAGTGCCACCCTCTGGCGCTCAGAGGCAATTGACAAGAAGAGTCTCTGAAAAGATGAGCTGCAGAAGGTGCCAACAGAGCCTGAAAGGCAGGGAGCGAGGGTCCCCAAGACTGGATGGACCACCAAGCAAGCCAAGGCTAAGCGCCGCCCATCGCTCACCGTGCTCTCCAACAGTGGTAAACCGACGAGCGGTAGCTCGCTCTCTGCTAGCCACTCCAGGCACATCCCTATAGACTTCCCAGAGGAAGAGAGGGGACGTGGCAGGCTAGAGCTTTGGAGAAGTTGCACTGGCTGACTGCGTTTCTATTTCATTTTCCATGATTTGAATGCCAACACACACACACACACACACACACACACACACACACACACACCATTCAAGACAGCCAAAATAAAGGATTATTTTTCTAGATCTGAACAAGGGCAGAGGCCTGTTTTTCTTCTCCCTAAGTAGCTACATACTACAACTCCGACATTTTTTTCAAGTCTTCATACAGCTAGTTATACATTTCTTTGACTAAATCACAACCTCCAGACTTCATAGTTTATTTTCATGGTTTTAAAAACCACTTTTATGGGCCCTACCCTTGTCCTTGTGTGCTACCAATATTTTAGTACTGAATTTTTTCTGCAATGCACCCCCCAAACCATCTCAGGTGTTCAGAAACTATAGTGACTCCCAAATGAAAGGGGAGAGGGGAAAGAAGTGTGGCGGTGAGGGCACATTCAGGACTTCTTCCTTTAAAATGTGCCCTATTATACCTGTGATTTTTAATGAAAAGCTTTGTTCTTCACACACCGTGGTTAGGCACCATGAAATAAGGACTGAAAAGACTTTGATCACATTTCAAGATGCGACAAGGCAGACTGCGACTGACTAGGTTTAAAAGTCTGTAATTAATACTCTTGACAAATCCCCAACTAGTCTGTCAACTCTAGATGTCTTTAACCACACATTTCAAAACCATGAGATGGTCTACACAGTCTCCCTGAACTCGCCACGTGTCGTCATGTGATTAGTCAAGATAATGTTCCCTTTGGGTTCCATTAAGGTAGCGAGGCCAACTCTTGTCATGTAGTCGCCAATGGGGGAAACTTGCTTTGAAAGAAGGCTTGTGAGGGAACACTATGGGTTTGGTTTGTCTAGTGCTAACTGGAGACTTAACGGGCAGAGGCAGAAATTACAGAAAGTGATTTCTGTTTGCTGGGAAAAGGAGGAAGGAGGAAGAAGAAGCACCAAACGACTGGTGAGGAAGAGCATTTCTATACCCATAATCCTCCAGGAAGGAGCACACACAGACACTGGAAAAGAACACCGGCCGCCTAAGAACACCAAGCATTTCCTGGCGAAATACTCTCTAAATCTCAAGCTATCGCATAGTCTCAAACACCTGTCCTTCCGGTTTTCTCCATGTTTACTGCAGTAGAACCCTGAGTGTGTAGATGGGGTGGGCTACTGTGGTACACCCTGCGTTCATCCAGCTCTGCCTATTATATAAGTTCATAACCATCCCCCTCCATTCGCTTCCAATATTTGAACTGTAGTCCTGCCCTGTGCTGGGTGCCATGATGGACTTGAAAAGCTTACCGACACGCGCACACTGGAGGTAGTCATAACCTCTTACAATCAGGAAGCACTGCAAAGTTTCAGAGGCTTCAAAACAATGAAACCTGAGTAGGGACTGGCGATATGGCTCAGTGGTTAAGCACACTTGCTGCTCTTGCGGAGAATCTGGGATCAGTTACCAGTAGCCACATAGTGGCTGACAGATCTCTGTAACTCCAGTTCCAGAGGATCCAGTGCTCTCTTTTGGCCTCCCTGGGCACCAGGGACACACATGGTACATATATGTACATGTAAACAAATACTCATACACATAAAATAAAAATAAATCTTAAAATAAAATAAAAACTCAATCCCCTAAATAAAAAAAAGTGCTTGAGTAGGGCCTGCAGAGACGACTCAGGGGTTACAAGCCCTTGCTGCTCTTTCAGAGGACTGTAGTCAGATTTTCTTTGGATCACCAGCTCCCAAATAATGACATGGAGACTTCTTAATAATTATAAAAGCTTGGCTTTAGCTTAGGCTTGCTCCCAACTAGCTCTTATAGCTCACATTAACCCATTTATATTAATCTATGCTCTGCCACACGGTTCATTACCTCTCCTCCACTCTGGACATTCAACTTCCCCATGTCTCGCTGGCAAATTCTCCATGCCTCAGATCCCTCCCAGAGTTCCTATCTCTTTCCAGAAGTTTCTCCTGTCCTCTCCTGCCGAGCTATTGGCCATTCAGCTCTTTATTAAAACAATCAGAAGGTGTTTTTCACACAGTGCGATCAAATATCCCACAACAGAGGACTCAGGTTTGGCTCCCAGCACCCGGGTTAGGTGGTTCACAGCTGCCTATAACACCAGTTCCAAAGGATCTGATAGCCTTTTCTGACCTCTGCAGGTACTTGCATGTATGTATGATACATAAGATAATAAATAACAAATAAGGAAGCAAGCAGAAGCATTAGGATCAAGATAGTGGATATATTACTATGTAAACTGAAAGAAGGGATTTCTGTCCGGTTTGGCTGCCTATACCCGCTTTGCACGCGTGCCTTCTCTTCTGTTTGACTCTACCAGCACTGCCAAAGCCAGTTAGAATGGGATAGTCTCGTACCAGCAGTCTCTAAGCTTCCCACCCTCTAAGCTCTCTTATTTTCACTCAGCAGGGCCCTGACAATATAGGAGTTTTCAGGGTGTGGTACCCCACCACTGTTTGACCTCTGTGTGTAAGCCTTTTCTGCTTTTGTGTGTCTTGCCTCTTTTTCCAGCTCCAGATGTCTTCAGGGAAACCCATGTTGAAAAGCATGGAGAAATGAATAGCTAGTCAGACGAGCCTGTTTCCTGCTTGAACACTGTGCTAGAGTCTTTATATCCACCCCATGAATTTTAGAGGACATGTGGTTCTTACAGCCAGCAGAATGTCGAGAAAGTGAATTCTACAGCCGGGGCCTTAAAAGAGGCTTCACAGTTCCCATTCTTGCTTTCCTGTGACCCGGATACCAATTTCTGTCCAGTATCACTTGCTGAAGGATGAAAACCTGATGTAGAAGGACCAAAGAGCCTTGACTAGCATACAGCGCCCACTGCGGATGCTGTCAGAGGGCTACCTTGTCCCTTCCAGCACTTTGTGCCCTCTTGACTATAACCCCAGCAATGATCACACTGAAGACGGCCCAAAGAACTGCCAAGGTTGCAGCCTCACAGAACTGGAATTAATCACTATTGATGGTTAATATTCAGAAATGCAAATCAAATAAACTTGCTACATCAATTATACCCCCTTTTCAAAAGGAACCAGTTGGAGTTAACTTCCATCGTCTAAAGGACTGTTTGGTATTGAGTAATTTCTTGTCCATTATTTTCAGCCAACTTGATTTTTGATAAACCTGGATATTGGGTGAGAAACCAAAAAACAAGAGAATTGGGGTTGAGGACGGCTCAGCGGTGAAGAGAGCTTGCTGCTCTTGCAGAGGACTGAGCTCAGTTCTCAGCACCCACATGTGGTTAGAAGTACCTCCACTTAGATCAAACTTCATGGGATCCATGTGTGTGTATACACACTGACACAGAGACAACATACACCTACATAAAAAATAAAATGAACCTTTTTAAAAAGCAAGAGTGAGTATCTTCAGGGCTGGAGAGATGGCTCAGTTGTTACAGTGCTTGCCACACACACGTGAGGACCCACACCTGAGCTATTAAACAAGAGACATCACATAAACTGGTATAACATACATCTTCCATTCCCGTACTGCTGGTGGAGGTGGGGATTCCTGGGGATTGCTGACTAGACAGTCTGGCCCACTCAGTGAGCTCCAAGCTTGGTGAGAAACCCTGTCTCTGAAAAAGAAAAAGAGGAAGAGAGCTACCGAGGAAGACACTCGATGTGGACTTTGGCTACAACATGCACACACACACATACACATGTACACCCATGCACACACACAAGCATCCACACACAAAGGGATGGGAATCTTCAAATAATTAAGAAATATCACTTGGTCCAAAGATGTGATGGGAATAAAATTTAAGCTACTGGTAAAATGAGGTTTCTGTATTGCTTTTGTTTTGTTTTTGAGGCCAAGTCTTAACTGTACAGCTCTGGCTGGCCTGGAACTCGTTATGTAGACCAGGCAGTTCTCAAATTCACAGCTATCTACCTGCATCTGCCTCTTGAGTGCTGGGATTAAAAGTGTTCATTACCTAGTCCAATATTCTGTATTATATGTGGTTATCACTTAAATCTTTCTCCTGCTGTGACACATAACTGGCATTTTTCACTGAACACCCAGAGGCCTTGCTCTGGCTCCTTCCCTACCCATTTACACGCCCTTAAGAATTTTACCTTGGGCAATTTTGATTATCAACTTGATTGGATTAGTAAACATATAGAACACTTATGAGACAACACACCTTTGTGTATGTGTGTGGAGGAACAGGGGAGGGGGCAGAGGAGTTCTTATGGCTTTTAAGGAGAGGACTGCTCTGAGCCAGGAGAACCAATTTGAATGCAGGCTGAACCACTCTATCGGCTGGGGGGGCCTGGCCTGGATAAAAATGGGTGAAAGCCAGCTGAGCGCCTGTCCCCCATCCACTAAGATGTGAGGACGCTCCTGCTGCCA